AAATCACAAGCATTAGTCTCACGTAAAGATTTCAGGAAGGAAAGCACAGTTAAACGGAAAACTGTTAACTGGTACTTAAAAAAAAAAAAGCCCGGAAATGTTTTTAGGACTGCATCTATCAAAGTCCCTGCTGGGCTGGCTTGTCCTTTAACACATTTCTAACAGCACCTGCTTTTACTACAAGACAACAGCTCAACATTAGGACTTTTAAAAGCCAGAAGCAGAGTGAAACTGACATGGAGGTACCCAGCTATATGAACCACATCTTCCTCACAGCAAGCAATACCACACAAAGGATCACTGGCCAGTGTCCTACGGCCACGTGGGTGGATCCGGGGAAGCTGAGCCAATGACAGATGGCATCCTGCACTCAAGCTTCTCCTTCTGCCTCCTTCTTCTCTCCAGCCCAGGCCTCCACTTTCCCTACCTATCTGCCAAGTCTACCCAAAAAAAGTTCTTGTACAACCTCCTACCCAACCAACCAATTCCGCATTTTTCAAGGGAGATCTAGTGACCCACACTTTTATTTCTTGCTTATTTTTTTAAACAAAGTATTAAAATACTGAATTTAGGAAACTCAATTGATAAAAAGAAGAATGAGATATTAACAGCTTTTGATTTTAACCTGGAAGTAATGGTTAATCCTTTTGAATGTAATTCTACATTTATATAAATTATTCCTTTAAGTTTCAAAAACCTTAACCTAGTTTTCTCCCTCTGTCAGATTTTTAAAAATAAGACTTGCTCACTACGGCCTAAAAAGCAATCAAAAAACACAATCATAGTCCACATAAAAATTTATACACAGAAATAATCATAGCAGCATTATTTATAATAGACAAAATGTGGAAGCAGCCCAAATGTCTACCAAATCATGAGTGATTAAACAAAATGTAGCATATCCACACAATGGACTATTACTTGGCAATAAAAAGGAATGAAGTATTGACACATGTTACAACATGGATGAATCTTGAAACCACTATGGGTAAGTGAAAAGAGTCAGCCACAAAAGACCATATGTTGGATGATTCTATTTATATGATATCCAGAAGAGGCAAATATGCGCAGACAGAAAGTATGTTAGTAGTTGCCAAGGGTTGGAAAGATGAGGGTAACTTAGGCGTATGGCGCTCCTTTTGGGATAATGAAAATGTCATGTAATTGGCTCTGGTGATAGATGTACAACTCTGAGAATATACTAAACACCATTGAATTATGCATTTTAAATGGGTGGATTGCATAGTATGGAACTTTGATCTCAACGAAACTGTTTCAAAAAGGACAAAGAAAAAATACCCTCAAATCCCAAGTTAGTAGTTAGAGTGACTGTTGTTTCAATCTACCCCCAGTTTGAAATGCCCACAGTCCAGGTGTCCTTGAAGCTGTCTGTCCTGAGTTCAGAGAAGAGCCCCAGAGTGGTGTTTGGGAAGATGCTTTGCTTTCACAGATCACAGCTTAACTAACATTCATTCAGATATCAGCAGGCATTAGGACAGGATTTTGATTATGATTTAGACTTAGGTTAAGGACATCTCTCTATTGGTTCAGTTACTAGAACTAAACTGAGACAGTCATGCTCTGGTATGTCCACAAACTTGTCACCAAACCTTCTGGTTGCAGAGGCTTTTCAAGTTTTTCAATCAAACTTTTTCAATTTATGAAAGTTATGAGTCTTTCAAATGAATAACCACGAAACAAGCTTGTTAAAAAATGGTCTCTAAACTGAAGAGACCATCCACAGAGTGGGAGAAATATTTGCCAGCTATACATCAGACAAGGGACTGATAACCAGAATATACAGGGAATTTAAGAAACTAAACTCTCCTAAAATCAATGAACCAATTAAGAAATGGGCAACTGAACTAAACAGAACTTTCACAAAAGAAGAAATTCAAATGGCCAAAAAACACATGAAAACATGCTCACCATCTCTAGCCATAAAGGACATAAAGGTAAATCAAAACCTTACTAAGATTCCACCTCACCCCTGTTAGAATAGCCATCATCAAAAACACCACCACCACCAAGTGTTTGCAAGGATGTGGGGAAAAAGGAACCCTCTTACACTGCTGGTGGGAACGTAAGCTGGTGCAACCACTCTGGAAAAAAATTTGGAGACTTCTAAAAAATCTAAATGTAGACCTGCCATATGATCCAGCAATCCCACTCCTGGGGATATACCCAAAGGAATGCAACACAGGTTACTCCAGAGACACCTGCACACCCATGTTTATTGCAGCGCTATTCACAATAGTCAAGTTATGGAAACAACCAAGATACCCCACTATTGATGAATGGATCAAGAAAATGTGGTATTTATACACAATGGAATTTTACTCAGCCATAAAGAAGAATGAAATATTTTCATCTGCAGGTAAATGGATAGAACTGGAGAACATCATTCTGAGCGAGGTCAGCCAGGCTCAGAAGACCAAAAATCATATGTTCTCTCTCATATGCGGACTTTAGATCTAGGGCAAATGGTTGGACTTGGATCACATGACAAGGGGAGAGTATATACAGGAGATATAGGAATAGGTAGAAAACCCAAAACATGAAAACATTTGATGTCCCCACTCCAGAGGAATGAATACAGAAACCTTAAAGCAACAGAGGTTAACATGAGAAGGGGATCAGGAACCAGTGTAAAGATCAGTTAGAGATGAATCAACATGGGTTGGTAACACATGGGTACACAAAAGCAATGCTAGGAATCTCCCTGTATAGCTATCCTTAACTCAGCTAGCAAAAACACTTTGTCTTCCTTATTATGCTTATGTCTTTTCTTCAATAAAACTAGTGATAAGGGCAGAACAGGACCTGCCTGGAACGTGGAGGAGGGGGAAGGGGAGGGGAGGGAGGCAGGGTGGAGAAATGACCCAAACAATGTATGCACATGTGAATAAATGAATTAAAAAAAAAAAGAATGTTTTTGGTGCTGAGGATCAAACACAGTGCCTTAAGCATGGTAAGCATATGCTGTACCACTGAGCTACATCCCTATCTCTGGTGGTAATATATATATATATATATATATATATATATATATATATATATAATATATTACATATATGTATATAGGGTTTATATATATATGTATAAAGGGTTTTTTGGGCAGGACTAGGGCTTGAACTCAGTGCTTTGCACTTGCAAAGCAGGCACCCTACCACTTGAACCACATCTCCAGTTCATTTTGCTCTGGTTATTTTTAGAGATGGGGCCTCCAGAAGTATTTGCTTAGGCTGGCCTCAAACTATGATCCTCCCATTCTCAGCCTTGCAATTAACTTGGATGTAAGCATTAGCCACCAGCACCTAGCCTTGGTGGTAAAATTTTAATAACACATGTTAGTCAAATTCTACCAGTGTGTGTCAACAATTCTGGTTAAATGAAATAAGAGAAAAATAATGTTATATAAAATTAGGATAGGAAATTTAGAGTTGGAGGTGTTTAGGGATAATTTTTTTCTCATTAGTTTTAGTTTTGTTCCTGTTTTCAAGAACAAATGTGATTTACCTTCTACCTATAGGTGGCCAAGCTCACTTTCTGATAAAAAGCAAGACAGACAGAGACCTTGGAGGGGGCATCCTAGTTTGGTTTGTAAATTTGAGCTCTGTCAGTAACTTACTCTCTGGGCCTTGGTTGCTATATTTGTAACAAAGGAACGATATCATCTGTTTCTCCAGATTTTGTGAGGAGTGAATGGAATGTCAAATCCTGTAATTCACTCAGTGCCCGATATATAGTAGGCACTTGGTGTTATCTTTTTTTGTTGTTGTTTTTGCAATAATAATCATCATCATAATAATAAATAATATTATTATCAGTATAATTATAATTATAAATAGTAACTATTGTGTAGGGTTGGAACCTGGGGCCTTGCACATGCTGGCAAGCACTCTACTACTGAGCTAGGCCCTCAGCCTCAGTATTAGTTCTTTTACACAGTTATTGACTGTGCTTGAGAATAAGTTCAATGCCCACAACTAAAAAACAAAACCCCAATTTTAGAGCTATAGGAGAAAGGAACTAGATTTTTAGTGAAATACATACATTTGAAATATTTCTAAACTACTAATTTTAGACAAAAGCAATTAAAGGCAAACTTGATTTGCAAAATACTACCTTCCTCCAACCATAATGAACTCTCATTGAGATCTGGTATTTGGTAAAATCATGACCTAACATTCCAGTTGAATATGTCCAAAATACAGTATGAGGCAAAGCTGGCATGAATTGGAGTGACGGAAAAGGGATCAAGTTCCGTGCAAAGGACTTGTGATACTGAGGGAAGATGTCACAGGATCCTTGTCAGGTGGGTCCCTCAGGGGCTGCATAAGGGAAGGTCATCACCAACCCTAGCAGGTGCTGAAATTCAAGAAGGGTCTTGTCTAAATCCCTCAGTAACACCAAAGAATGCTGTAGTTGCCCTTGGCATGAAGTGCAGAAGGTACACTTACTCCCAAATATGAAGCTTAGTGTTATTTTCTACTGTGCTCAGAACAAAGCTGTGACATTAATTGGTAGGAGAGGAGAGGGGGATCAGAGAGAGAACTCTGACGAGGGGCTGCACAGTCTCCAGGGCAGAGAGAAACTTGGGACCTGCTGGGTCAGGATGGCCCTATAGCAGTATGTGAACAGTCCACATTGTGAGCACCTGGAGGAAGGACCACAGGGTCCCTGCCTGGAACACCTCACACTTCCAGCTTACCAGACACTTGTTGAACGATTTTGGGTGTGTACTCTGTTCCTGGTGAGTCAAGGCAAAAGGCACAGGTACAGATGGGAAGGGGCACACACTTACAATGTAGAGGATGCCTCACTTGCAACATCTAGGAAAAAGTCTGGTTTCACTGATTTGGTTTCTGTTTTTGTAAACACACTGAAAATCAACAAACAAACACAAAACTGAACACGTGATTTTTATCAATTATTATACTAAAAAACAAAATATGTAGAGAGAATAAGAGAAAAACTCTGGTCATGCTTACACTCACCGGTGGCTGGCATTCAGTCAGGTCTCCAGGAAAAGGGAGTCCATTTTCTTGTTTCTCTACTGTCCACCTTCAGGACAGTGCAGAGAGGCCCAGGGCGTGCTGCCATCTGCAGGCAGAACAGGAGAAAGCATAAACAATGGCCCAAACCACCCAGCTGAAGCCCCAGTATATCTTCAGACCTGGATCCTGCCCTGAAGTGGGAGCCAGATACACTCCACAGTACCAAAGCCTACCCAGCCACCATCACTCTGTGCCTGGGATCCCACTCCAGACAGCTCATTCAGCAAAAACTCTAAAATATCAAAATTCGAGCATTTCTTTACAGCAGCAGAAAACTCTCACAGAGGGCTGTTGCTGTCTGGCACAGCTCTACATGATTTGCTTTTATGAATTTATTGAATCCTCACAGCAACAGGTGAATGTCTGCCTGATTGTTTAATTCAGTTGAATAATTAAAATGAAGAACCTGATAACACCTGATTTCAAAGAGAGGCCAAAAATGAAACCTATGTAGGAGATCCTGGGCATCCTGCAGATCACTCATTCCCCAAAGATTTATAGAAGCTTGTTATGGGCTAGAAGCTGACCTGGGACCTGGGAAGAGAACTGTATACACACACACACACACACACACACACACACACACACACACACACAGAGAGAGAGAGAGAGAGAGAGAGCGCCCCTGCCCTCAGGGAGCTTCCATCCTAGTGAGGAGAGGCGAAAACAGGATAGGTAACAAAGGCTGAGGAGAGTGAACACATATCCACTCACTTAGTCATTTGTTCCCAAGTACTCAATAACTGTATCATTTCTTGCCCACAAATGCATGCCAGGCACCTTTCCAGAGATGCAATTGTAGGCAAGAATTAGACCAGGGCCCAGCCCGTAGGAACATTGGATTAACTAAGTAATCATGGTCCCTGCCTTCATGGAGTGTTTTAAGAGGAACATTTTATATTAACCAAATAATCACTTAAACAAATGCAAAGATGTTAAACTGTGCTAAGTAGGATAGCAGAGGAGCACAGAGTCCCTGTGGGAGTACCCCAGTGAGGGGACACTATGGGGCCCAGGGAAGGCCTGGAGGGACTGTGCAGAGGAGCAGTAATGCTCTAAGAAGCATGCCTTGCACGCAGACTAGGTCAGTAAGGGGGAAGAAGAACCAGTCTGAGACTGGAGAACAGGCATGGGCAGCCCTTGCAGGGCACTACCGGCTATGAGAGGAGTTGGAGGCTTATCCTCTGTGAACTGCACAGGGTCTTGGGCAGAGAAGTAATGTGATTGGATGTGTGTTTTTAAAAGATTATACTAGGTGATAGGTTGAAAAATGGCCCTGCCAAAGATGTAGATGTCTGAATTCCTGAAGACTGTGAATATGTCCCCTTTTATGGCAAAAGGGGCATTGCAAGTGTGACAAAATTGGGAGTCTTGAGATGGACAGATTACCCAGGTGGGCCCAACATAATCACAAGAGTCCTTGTAGGAGGGAGCCAGAAGGACATCTGACTATAGAAGCAACAGAGGTGCAGCATGAGAAAGATATGCTGGCTTTGAAGATGAGGGGGCCGTGAGCCAAGGAATGCAGGTGGCCTTTAGTAGAAAAGATAACAAAATGATTCTCCTTGGTTGCTTCCAGAAGGAATGCAGCCCTGCTAAACCCTTGCTTGATTTTAGGACTTCTGACCTCTAGAATTATAAAACGATACACTTGTAATTAAGGCACTAAGTTTGTGGTAATTTGTTGAGCCAGCAGTAGGAGGCTCTTTGTTACCAAGCATTATTGGCTTCTGTGAAAAACCAGACTGGAAGTAAGGGGAAGGAGAGGCAGGCAGCATTGGAGGCCACTGGTGTTGCCCAGGCAAGAGAGCTTGCAGCACCGTGGTGACTGTGTCATGGGGACAGGAGTGGTGGTGTTAAAAGAGCAGGAGGGGAAGTCAATCTGGCAAGTATTAATAGCCCGGCAGGCCTCCTCCAGGTTCAGGACTTGGCAGGCTCACCTGGCTGGAGCCTAGCATGCTATGGAAGGAGGAAGCATACACCAGAGATATGAGACCATGCCAACCCTGCTCCCACACAAAGAGTCTAGGAGTCTCCAGGAGTAGCTCTAAGAAGTAGCACCTGGGGAATTTATTCTTTTCACTAGGTGAAAGGCAGCAATTATTTCTTCCAAGCATTAGCCCTTACCTTATAGTGGACTCTCTCTCTCTCTCCCTTTTTTTTCCTGAATAGATTTTTGCAATTCTGTAAAGGAGCTTTCTAAATTTAAATACACACATCTCCAACCCAGGTGATGCACAACCACAGTTATATAAACATTTGGAAATTTCACAATCAGTAGACTAATGCAGAAATTAAAGAAAAAAATAAAGGAGAAAGGAGGAGGCCTTTTCTCAGAATCTCTGAGATTCCTGTTAAATTCCTACTTAATGATCCACCTACTTAAAAAGTAGGATCCTGCTGGGCACATATAATCCTAGCTACTCAGGAGGCAGAGATCAGGAGGATCACTGGGTGGTTTGAAGACAGTCCATATCTCGAAAATACCCAACACAAAACAGGGTTGGTGGAGTGGCTCAAGTGGTGGAGTGCCTGCCTAGCAAGCATGAGGACCTGAGTTCAAACTCCAATACCCCATGCCACACACAGAAAGTGGGATCCTAATTTAGTCCTGCCTAATGGTGCCTCTGAGAAGAAAAAAGCAATAAAATGATTTAAGAGAATTTTAGAAATACTCTCTCAATTCTACTCCATAAGCATAAACATACCCCCACCAAGGCCAAGTATCTGAGAGATAACACAAGGGGGGTTTGGGGTACAGCAGGCCACAGGGACCTAACTGGATTCCAGAAGTATGAAAGGACCCTAGTGTGCCTGAACACAGCAAAATACCAGGCAGTGCTCTTAGTGCCAGAGCAAGTTAACTAAAAATTCGATGCATGTGTGTATTGTTTTGACTAATGTGTGCTGTGACAAAACTGACACGTGTATTGCTGAAAAACACAAAAATCTCCCAGACATCCTAAGGTAATCATTTGGAAATGTTTACTTAGTCCCCCCACCAAATGATTTTGGTATATGTATTGACAGTACTGGGGTTTGAACTCAGGGCCTCATACTTGCTCTACCAAGCTCTCTACCATGCTCTCGCCCCTCCTCCATTAAAAATTTTTATTAGTATATCTTAGCTGCACAGGGGGTTTCATTGTGACATTTCCATATATGCTTACAAAACCTTGGTTAAATTCACTTCCTCCATTATTCTTCCTTATCCTCCTCCCCATTTCTTAAAACAATCTCAATAGGTTTCATTGTTCTATTTTCATACAAGTACATAAAGTACACTGACCATATTCACCCTCCTTTGTGGCCAGCTGTTCATCCTCCCTCTCTCCCTGCCATGGCTGGTACTCATTCCTGAACAGGACTTTTTTACCTTCCTGTCCTTCATTTTTTAAAGTGTACATTCATTGCTCACATGTGTTTCATGCAGAAATATATTGCACTCAGATCAGATTTACCACCTCTATTACTCTCTCTATCCTTTTCCCTCCACCCATTATTATTCAACAGCTTTCAGTGTTTCCTTACCCTATCTTCACACAGATACAATGTATTTTGATATTACTCACTTTCTGTCATTCTCTTTTCCTCTCCCACCTAGTTCCCTCAAACAGACCCAGTATTACAAACATATATATGTATATATATATGATCATGTGGGTACTTTTGTAAGCTCTTTTTTGTTTTATTTATTTTTCGGGTAGGGTCTTGAATTTTTGCCTGTGGCCAGCCTCAACAGCCATCCTCCTACCTATGCCTCTCACATTGATGGAACCACAGATGTGTACAACCACACCCTGCTTATTAATTGAGATGGGGTCTCACTAACTTTTTACTCAGTCTAGCCTTAAACTATGATCCTCCTGATCTCTACCTCACAAGTAGCAGAGACTACAGGCATGAGCCACCACACCCAACCCCTATTTTGTGTGTATGTATGTGCATGTGCATATTACATAAAAACTCTTTGCTAACAAACAGTATGTGAATCTTCATACTTTTGGGATTCTGTACACACCTTTCTTTCACAAGAAGTTTTATTTAATTAATACCATATAAATTTTCTATGTTATTCAAGATACTTTTTAATATTTGGCCATATTCCATCCATCATATGAAGATATCAGAATCACTTAACCAATCCCATCAGGCTGGATAACTGAGTGGTTCCTAATTTTATGATGACATAACCACATTGGGAGGAACATCCTGGAGTATAAGTCTGTGTCTCCAGCTCTAATTACTTCCCTAGGGTCATGTTCCCATGTTCTTACATTACTATTACTATTTTTCCATGATTAAACACCATCTGTATTATACTTAACATTTCTCTTTCGATCACCTCATTTCTGCCCATAAAGAAATGTATTTTAAGGGCTGGAGACATGGTTCAAGTGGCAGAGCATCTGCCTAGCAAGTGCAAAGCCCTGAGCTCAAACCCTAGTAACTACCAAGAAAATGTATTTGAAAACAAACCTTATTTACTATTGTAAACGGAAAACCAGCATGAAATGAAAGCAATCATAAAAATACACAGTTTATTAGAATGAAAATAAAACACTAAGTGTCAAGTGTGGTGGCACAGATCTGTAATCCCAGCACTTAAGAGGTAGAGGCAGGAGGATCAAGAGTTTAAGGCCAGCCTGGGCTACATACTGAGTTCAAGGCCATTCTCGATTTTACAAGGACACCTGTTCCAAAAAAGTAGTTAAGATACTAAGTAGTGCTATCCGTTTGCTCATTCTTTTATACCAAATGGAAGATTAGGAAGGTTTAGAGACATGTTAAAGACATACTGGCATGGAGCTGAGGTTTATCTTCTTCCCTGGGTGAGAAGATTCAAAGGAAACTGATGAGAGAAGTAACTTTCTCACTGTACAAGTCAGTGTCAGATAACGCCACACACACGTGTTCCACCCAGAATATCTCTGCATACTTAGAATAACCACACATAGGAAATGTGCCTTACGGGGCTTAAGATATATAACTAGGACACTAAAACAAAGCTTTTGATAAACTGAGCACGAACAGTATCCATAGCGT